TCTTGGCAAAGATACTGGAATAGTTTGCCACTTCCTTCTCCAGGTCATTTTACAGATGAGAAAACTGAGGCAAAGAGAGTTAAGTGACTTGCCCAGGGTCACACAGCTAGTGTCTGAAGCCATATTTAAACTCAGGAAGATGAGTCTTGCTGACTCTAAGCACAGCACTCTGTCCCACAGCACCACTTAGCTGCCACTTTAAGGTTTACAAAGCCCCTTACACATATCATGTTTCGATCCTTGCAATAAACCATGGAAGGTTACATTTTGCATTACATTTTACAAATAAAGAAACTGAGGTATGACAAGGTTAAGTAAAGACTTGCCTAAGGTCATACAGCTAGTAAGGAGCCTGAGGCAGGAGAACTCAAGTCTTCCTGCAGTCACCATTCTTCCGCCCATTGTGACAACATCCCAGAAAACTTTGTTGGGGGCTTTCCTCACTATTTGCTCCCTTGGTGATCTCATTAGCTCCCATCAATTACCTCTATGAACGGGTTCTAAATTTATACATACAATTTCATCTTTCTCTGGAACTCCAGGCCAAAGAAGAATTCATATGCCCTTCTCCTTTCCTTTCCTCCTCCAAACTTCCCCATTTCTGTTGGGGTGGATAGGATCTTACTCATTACCCAGGTTTATACCCTTGGAGTCAACTTCAACTTTTTCCCCATTTTCATTCCTCACATCTAATCAGTTGTCAAGTAACTGATTCCACCCCTAAAACATTACTCACATGGCTCTCCTTTTCTGTACTCACACAGCCTCTACCCTAATTCAGGCCTTTATCATCTCTTACCTGTACTACTGTAAAAACCTGCCACTTTTTCCTGATTCCAGACTCTTACTCCATATTTCACAGCTGCCAAATTGATTTTTTCTTTTTTGGGGGGGAGGGGAGTGAAAGCAGAGGGGTGGGTACAAAGCAATCAGGATTAAGTGACTTGCCCAGCTAGACTCACACTGCTAGTAAGAGTCTGGGGCCAGGAATCAGGTCATCCTGACTCCAAGGCCAGTGCTCTATCTACTGGACCACCTAGCCGCCCCAAATTTATTCTATTAAAACACAGTTCTGATCATGTCACATTTCTTGTATTGCCTTTCTCTCCCCCTCCAAAACCAACACCACCAAGAAAAACTCAATGGCTCACTATCACCTCTAGAATAAAGCCTTCCCCAAGTCAAGATCATACCTTCCTTTTCTGTTTTATTTCATTTCGTTCCCTTGGACACACTCTCTATCCTAGTCAAACTAGCCTGTTAGCTATACACCACAAAGAGAACAGTCCATTTGCCACCCTTTTCCTTTCGCACATCTGGCCTCCTATACACTCCCAGTGAATAATACCAGACTTCTTTCAAAGCTCAGCTCAAATGCCATTTCCTATATGAGCCCTTTCCTGAAATATAAGCATTTTCTCCTTGAAATTATTTTGAATTCACACACAGAAATACACACCCTATCTTTAAGGAGTTTACAATTTACTGAGTGACTTTTTGTTTTTGTAGCCCTAGTACTATGAACACTATCTTTAATATCACTAAATACTTAATGTTGACTGAACTGAATTGAACCCTGTGAGGGAGGTGATCTGATCATTATAAACCCCATTTTATGCATTTTAAAAAGTAAGGCTTCAAAGAAATGAAGCAATTTGTTCATGATCACATATATAACCGCAAAACGAAACCTTCTAACTCTTTAATACAGCCCTCTTTTCATTTTAAAGAAATGAGGTCACTGTGGTGTAATCAAAGTCATGAAATTTTTAAGCTTAGCACGATTTCTAAAATCTGCCTGTAACAAAATTTGCTACTGAAACTTTACGTGATCGGCAATCTTACTAATAAGGTTATACTCTTATCTATGCAGATGGCAATCCACTCATTCTGTCTCATCTTGTGTGACTTGTGTCCCTCTTCTCCAATTAGGCCTCTGTGAAGGACCCATAGAGCCTTCATCTCCCAAACATATGTATTTTCTTGGATAATTTTCCTTACACCATTCCTTGAATGTAGGCCATTACTGGATACATGCTGCAGCCCACTTACACTCATCACTTATTTCTATTTTGCTCTCTGAGTTGCCTGCAATTCTGACTCTGCCAAAACTGTAGTGCTCCATGATTCACAGAATTACTGGGAGAAAACTGGTATTAAAAATATGTGTTTGTGGCAGGGAGCAACACCTTTGGGATCATGGAATGCACTATGACAGGCCGGCACAACGTATAGCCTGTGGACCACTTGTGGCCCACCAAAGGATTTCGGGCAGCCCATAAAAACTGTAGAGGATGTAAAAGAAAATAAAGATGTAACGAGTGCTTTGTCCATGCCCTGATTAACCCACCTTCCACTAGTCACTACTGTACCCGTCATGTAACTTGGTGAGTGGGTTGCCACTGTGTACTCTCTCGTTTGTCACGTGACTCATGGCAACCAAACATCATCAGTCTGTCTCTAGTCTAAGAGAAGCAATTTCATGATGAATAAAAATCTTGAGTAATAAGTGTAATTAATTGATATTAATTGAAATTTCCCTTTTTAAATATAGTTTATTTGCAAAATAGTTTAATCATTAATTATATCTTTACTCGGAAAGTGAGCCAATAAAAACCTATCTTCAGTCTGAAGAAGTTTAGCCTGTTTTAATTTTGACCCCATACGTACTCCCAAGTTGTAGAGATCTGCACTATGTTATGTCCTAAATGCCATCCAAAAAATACTTTTCCTCCAAATCAATGAGCCCAGCAAAATGTCCAGTTGTAGTGCTGATTTGCACAGATGCATGCATGCTCACGCGCGCACACACACACACACACACACACACACACACACACTTACTTTCTCTCTCTCTCTCTCTCTCTCTCTCTCGGTGGACTGCCCATACAAAGATATCTGGGACAAAAGGCATTTTTCGTCCATTTGGATCCATCCATGGAGTAGTCATGGTTCTCTTTCTTTCTCTCTTTTTAACAATTTCAACAATCCAAAAAACGTGAGATTAAGAACATGTTCTGACTCGTTAAAAATCCTCCAATTTAAATATCGGACGAAAGCAAAGGTCCTAATTTACAACTCTCTGTTGGCCCAACAGCAAGACAGAACAGTCAGTACTACCTTATACTAGTAGTAATAAAAAATAAATACAACCATCTGATACTTCTACCTCTAGTTGCTACTGTATTACACCCAACTACTTTTTAAAAGTGACCTGTCACAATGAATTTTTCTAGTACCCTAGGGAGTTTTAACTCTATTCCAATTCTTTCAAAACAAGTAGATAAAGATAGATGTCCATGCTTATATGCAAAAAAAAAACCAAAAAAAAAAAAAAAACAAAACCCAGTGTGTCAGAAGCAGATATCCAACATATTGGGAGGTAGGGAAGAGAGTGGTGAAGAGGGAAAAAGACTCTTAAGCTTATGTAGCTATAGAGTTCAGGTATCTGTATTGGACAAAATTCTCAGGAGACTTTTAGTCCTTATATCATAATAATTATCAAGACATTATCTAGGTAATTTGTTTTTGTTCAAGCAGACCTCAATAATGAATTTCTACTTCTTCACTTCCAACCTCATCTAACTGTGAGCTTAACAAATTAGGACATGACAGGGCTGAGCTAAAGGAGTTAGAAGTTCCTGGGTTCCCACCCAATCCTCAATTCTCTGGGCCACAATGACTAATCCTAGACATGATCAAACTGCCTTAATTGCCAACTCACCTTACTCTTAAAAATAAATTAATTAATTAATTAATAAATAAATCCCATAGCATAGATTGATTACCTTTGGCCAAAGAGACCAACAATTAAAAAAGCTGAGTACATTTATGTCACTGCACATGTAAGTTACTGTGGATAGAAATTTAAAGTTATTTTATCCAAAACAAAACAAAAAAAAATCCATAACCAAGTGTCTCAGGTCAGCCAAGAGTCTTGCTTCTATCAAGCCTACTAAGCTAAGCTCACATTTTTGTGGATAAATATTTTAATAAGATCTCTAACCTAGCCCAACAGTTTGCCATTTTCTTCCTCTGAAAAGCTGACTTGGATTTTTAAAAAATAATACCTATCTTACAGTACAGAAGTGAAAGGCAAAATTAACTCTGCTGCAATGATGTAGAAATCTAAACCAGGGGCAGCTAGGTGGCAGAGTGGATAGAGCACCTGCTCTGAAGTTAGGAGGACTTGAGTTCAAATCTGGCCTCAGACCAAACACTTAACACTTACTAGCTGGATGACCCTGGGCAAGTCACTTAACCCCAGTTGCCTAAAAATTAAAAAAAGAAAAAAGAAAAAAGAAATCTAAACCAAGTTACCATTGTTTATTTCTCATGAGTCTGTTATAAGTAAACTATTCAAGATCAGAACAGCATTCAGACAGCATTACTATTCAAAAACTGCTGCATGATCCTGAAGAGCCATAAACATTCAGTAACCTACTATTTCTTACGTGAGTCTAAATGAACGCTCTCAATCAATCAATATTTAATAAATGCCCACTATGTGTCAGGTACTGTCACCAGGTACTGGTTCAGAACTAATTCAGAAGTACAACACTTGCTCAAAAAAGCCCAAAGTGATTAGCCCCTACTAGGCTTGAGCCATAAAACAACCTTTGCCCAGTTAAAAAGAAAAAAAAAAAGGCAATTTCATAAACATCTAGTATGCTAACCACTCTACCTTGTTACTCAAGAAACTGTTGAAAATTTACTTCAATTTTGGGCAAAATAAAGAAATGAAATTCTTTCATGAACTTGGGAACATTATTGTTTATATACCTACAAAGGAATTTCCCTAAAACCATCAGAAGTATAATCACTGTCAAGAAAATTTATCTAATACTTATTTTCAAGGAGAACGGAGTACACATAATTCTGGTTTCATGTATCACTACTCTATAACTCCACACTTACTATCCTAATACAGGACCCTGAATCTTTAATAGTTAGAATATATTCTATGGGTACAGCCAATCACTCAAAGGAAAAATATAATCTGACAACATAGGGAATAGTCCCCCTGTAACTGTTTATTAGAATATGAATATATTTTAAATCAATACCTAAAAAAAAATCAAATTACAGTACATGCATAAAATACAAAGTAACAATTTACAAACAGATCAATAGCATCTTAAGAACCAATACACTAAAAGAATAAAAAGGCTACAAAAGGAAAACAAAGTTACTGACTACAGCAATGCCTTCCGTGTGCCCCACACTTCATGAGCACCGCAAAAGATAAAAGATTTGCCATGAAATACATTAAACTGTGCAGGCCCACATATGTTTCAGGCTCACTCTTTCAATGCCCAAATAACTTTTGGGTCTCTCCTATCACCCTTAGCTTCACTGCAGCTGACACAGCTTTTTAAATTACTTTAGATTAAGCGCTTACTGTTCTCAAAAGGGGGAAAAAAACAATAAAGTATTAGTGTAGGCTTTAGATATTAATAATACAACTGCTTTTGAAAAATGTAGTGGAAAAGAAACATTTCAGAACTGTATAGCTCCTAAGTAGTTCTGTTTAAACTCAGGATGTTCTTTTAGCTTGTGAACTAAAATATATGCTTTTAATTGGATACCACATTAACAGAACCTGACCTTTGGTCATATCTTCAAGACAGTGGAACCCAAGACAAGTTCAATTGTGAAGCTTCATGACATGCTGAAAAACTCAACCAAGTAAAACAGAATTTTAAAAATAATCAAACCATACCTGGTAGTGAGTTTATTGGGAGGGAAAAAAAAAACAACTAGGCCACATTTTACTTAATGGGGGTGATGAAGGAAAAAAACCACACACTTCAAAATTTGGTATTTCTAGCATTGTACAGGTTATTTATTACCTAAGCAATAAAATGCTGCATGACCTGCCACTGTTAAATTAAATCATTTAGGTAGCTCTAGCTGTCTGGTCTCGCTGCAAAGGAGGCACCTCAAATAGAATTCTACCAGTCTACAGCCTGCCATGCTCATCACTTAACATGATGACTGACCCCTACCCTCCTCTCCATACCCAATCACATAGCTACCTCAACTGCAAAAAAATAAAGTAAAATAAAATGATAGTCATTTGCATTTTGCAAAGCAAATCCTTGAATCAGGAAAAGTTTGGTGTGGGTTTTTTCCCTCTTCTCCCCCCATAAATTGATTAAAAAAAAAAACTATTACATCACACAGACCTATTAAGGCATTTTAGAAATTGTCTTTCCAAATGATGGATATTTCTGAAGCTCTTACAATTCCATTTATATTATAGCACAATTTCTAGATTTGGAGAGACTGCACTGAAGGGAGAATACATTTTTTAATAAATTGCTCTGTGGCAAAATGTTTAATTGATACTAAAGTATTCTTTAATTTGATCAGGACCAAAAGGTCTGAGCTTAAACACTTGAGTTTGAGTATTTACCATTGCAATAGACCACCCTGATGGAAAATAAGCAATAATTAAGGAATCCAAACATCCATTTTATTAAACTAAGGCTAGTGAGGGCTTCGCATGAAAATAAGCTGCAGTCATTTGGGACAAGTAGGTGATTTTATAAATTTGAAATAAAAAAAAGACAAAGAAATTCAGAAGTAGTAATGAAACACAAAAAAGTGACCACAAGAATTACAAATATATTTAAATCTCGGACCTGGGGAATGGACTATACACTGCCTTCTAGGGGAGAAGCACAGAGCCTTATATGTTCTGACAACACTGCACCTTTGGCTTGTTTTCAGTGGTTGGAGGGACATGGATAGGAACCACATTGTTGCTTGGAGACATGTCATTTTCACGTCTGTCTGACATTTGCTTCTGAGAAACAATGCGATATATCTCTGCATAAAAAGAAGAAGTATTTAGAATTGTGTATTAATAAAATCCACCAATAGCTGCTATTATATAGGCTTGTGTTAGGGGTAGCTTTCTATTCCAATGGTCAAACAATCGTTTTTCCTCTTCAAGTAGCCAACGTTGTATTACAGTTTCCTTTAGGGAATGAAGAAAAAAAGTTTCTTCTTTATTTCAAAAAAAGAACTCACAAGAGATTAATGAGATATCTAATAGTTTTAAAGATCAACAGATGAACTGAAAGCTTAGACTAAAAATGTCACCACAAGAAAATTCAAAAACCTTGGCCAACAAAAAAAGCCTTAGAACACCACTGCTTCAGTAAAGGACAGGTATAAACCATCTTTATCAGACTCACCATAGATATGTCTGGAACAAAATACGTAACCCAATTTTACAAATATGCTGTTGATTTTTTTTAAGGCAGCCTGATGTAATAGAAAACATTTAAAATGTTTAGCACCTTGGCCCACTGAATGACTTTGAAAGTTATAAATTTTAAATGAATCTTAGAAAACTATATACAAGCATTTTTAAAAACCAATATTGTGAGGCAGGGTAGAATAATAGTTAGAAAACAAGCATCAGCATTGAGGAAGACCTGAGTTTGTCAAGTCAGGCTACAGTGGAATGGCAAGTCATTTAACCTCAGTGATGCAGGCAATTTTCCAAGAGGGTAAACTGCACAGCAAAGGATAAACATCATGATAGAGGGAATTACCAGGTCCCTACCCTGACAAAATCACAGGTCTGCACAAAACAAAAAAATTGGAAAAAGTCACCCCAAAACTGAACTACTTGGCAAGTAAATGACTGAAAAAAATACAAAACTAGCAGAAGTGAGCATATGTATACTTTTTTTTAAAGTGGGGTGGTTTGTACTCTGCTGTATCTTCAAAGAAAGTAACTCTTTGTAAAAGCTAAAAGAAAATATTAATGGCGATGGCAAAGAATGGAATAATTAATCTAGTTTTTCAAGGGTAAACAGAAGGGCAACCAAGCAATCCAACAGCTTAAGAATCAAAGTAGCAGCTTACTACTAAAACAATATATTAGTCATTCTTTTTTTTTCACCATAAACTGGATTTCTTTCCCCTACGCCCAAATTCCTTTGGTTCATTAATTGTGTAAAGCAGTTAAGAAAATTTTAGTGGGTAGAAGTTATAGAATCACAGATTTAGAACTAGATTTTTAGCCTCCTCCATACCACCATTTTACAGAGGAAGAAACTGAAGCCACAGAAGTTAAACGACTTTCCCAATATCAAGCAATAAGTGGCAGAGCCAAGAGTCAATCCAGGATCAATAGAGGAAAAAAGCAAAAAAAATCGATAATTTTTATATCTCAAATATATTATACATATGTAACACATAGAAACATGGAAAAAAGGCCAAGCCAGACTTCTGAGAGCAAGTGAAGATAAATAATTAAAGGATGTGATTACAAAGCAGAAAAGTTGAGAGGCATTATATAGCATTACCCAACTACCAGACAGTCTTTTTTGTAATTGGATCACGGTTTTGTTTCAAGTCGCTATTCTCCTCAGACCTCAGAAAAAAAAGTGTCCAGGAATCAAAGAATTACCAATAAAAGAAAGATAAAAAGAAGAGTTTTACCAAGGTACTGAGATGGAAAAGAGAATTTTTTTCAAAATTAGAAATGGCACAAAAAAGTTGCTTCGTTCACTTAAGACACACCCAGTCACCAGAGGTTAAGAAAGGAAAAACTCTGATAAGGGAGGGAGGAAAAGGAAGCAGCTATCTCTCAGATGGTCTTTGAGTAGAGAAAGAATATTTTAAAAAGAAAAACTAGGAACTCAGGGAACCAGGTAAAATGAGAAAGTTTTCCTTTCTTAAGGGCAATGATATGTATTTAATTTTAGAACTAAATAGATCACATAACTCATATTGGTTAGAAAGGCAGCCTTACTGTGGTGGAAAAAGTCTTGGAATGAGAAGACCTAAATGATTTTTAAATATAACCAACTTACAATTAAACACAAAAATGTAACGTGCACATTTCTACTTTGTGACAAATAGCAGTAATAAGCACATACCTTCAGAAGGATTATGAGGAAGTTAAAAGGTGGTTATGTAGAACAGGAATATAAGCATAGTTTCCAATGCTTTCCCTAATCCAAGCAAGCATCATTTTTAAAAAAGTAGAGGCACAAATTTTGCCACCACCATACAGATATAGCTCTAAATTTCACCAATGTCAAAGGCTGTGCTGAAGGTTCACTTTGGTAAAAATGAAATGTTTCTAAGTCATTCCACCATAGGGGAAATTCCCACAGCATTTAATGTTACAGATATAAAGGGTGTTTTGCTAGTTTCCTATGGGTAAAAGGTTCTACTTTATTGGTTTAATTGCTTTTTTTATTCAAAGAAATGACATGGATAAAAATATTCCAAATTATTGAAAATGAAAAATAAAATATACTACTACTAGTAATATGTTGCATTTAGTAGGTTTATTTTTCATCCATTAATTCTAGCCCACCCCTAAAGGACTCGATATCCCAAGACCACACGTGTTATCAAAAATACTTTGAAAGTATCCTAAACAAGGGGCGACAGATTGTGTTGCTGAAAAGAAACTACTCTAAACTTTAGCTCAATTACCAACACATATCACATTGCAGGACACTCAATTTGGCTCAGAGGTTTAAACCTCTCTAGAATTTAGTGCTACAAATCAATATTATGGTGACTTGGCACCCTGTGAAAGGTTTAATCAAGTCCTGTCTGCAGGATATAGGGCTCATACTATTGCTATTAAGTTGCTCACTTTTGCAAGCATCAAATTCAGTCCAAAGGGCAATATGAAAACAGCTTCTCTACAAAATAGAACCAGTTATTTTTGTAGTAAATGTTACCACCCTGTGCCCCACCCACATAAAAAAAAAATTAGCAGAGTTTTAAGTTGCTATGGATTAGTAACACATAAGGAACCGTAAGCTAAAAAGCATAACTGAAAAGTGGTATGGGTTGACATTTACCACAGAAATCATCAAGTCAGGCATCAAATTAAAGTCTTCAAATAAATAATTCAACATCATAAAGTCAGTTTCTGATCCATTGGTGCTTCCTTCAAAAACTTAAACTTCTAGGGCAAAGAGTATATTCCAGCTGGTTATGTGTTAAACAAGCAATATAATGTGCAGTGGGGAAAGCAGAGGACTTAGGATACAGCCAAGTTTGAATCCTGGTTCAAACGCTAACTGGCTGTCTGAACGCTGAACCTACTTTGGGGGGGGGCCCCCCTAAGGCAATGGAGCTAAGTGACTTGCCCAGGGTCACACAGCTAGTGTTATATGTCTGAGGCCGAATTTGAACCCGGGTCCTCCTGACTCCAGGGCGGGTGCTCTAACCACTGTGCCACCTAGCTGCCCCCTGAACCTATTTTTTCATCAATAAACAGTGATAATGAATATTACTACATACTTCAGCATGTTGTGAAAATAGCTCTTTGTAAACCTTAAAGGGCTATTATATTTATATAATAAGTATGATAACATTTTAAGTTTCCACCAGATGTCAATAATTCCTTCTAGAAACCCTAAAGGCATAGAATAGAATACTCTCCTTTCACCCTTAAGAGTCATCATAACAAAAGTTAAATGAAAAACTTTCCTCCTCTGACAATCAGGCCCCTGAAAGAAATTGGAAGAATCTGGGTAGCAGTGAAATAACTTTTATTCACCCTTGAGTTCAAATACTTCTCTAGGAGGAGTGTGCTTTGATGCCCACAAGCTTCCTGTCTCTGCCAACAACATTTTATAAATAAAAATATCAACTGATTTAGGGAATAATAACATTGATTAAACTCTCCACTCGGCATCCCCCAAATCTAATTCCTCCCCAATTACAGAAGAAACTTAAGAGTATTCTTTGTAGCTTTAACTTTTTAAAGTGGAAAAAAGATGAAGCCTAGAGGAACAATGCCTTGCACTGTGTAATGTCTACTTATGAAGCAAACCATCCAATTCGTTCAATAGTCGGAAGAAAAAAATCTAGTACACACTTGGCAGAGCCTGACTTCACTGGCATGAAAATACAGTTATTTTAAGCAGGGAGGAAGACACAGGCACACCTACAGGCATACATCTTCAACTTGGTGATAGCCAGAGGTGAAAGTTAACAAGATTTATATGGAGAGGGCTGAAGGTTGGGAACAAAATTAATCTATGAGGGTTGAGCAAACTGGAGCCCTCAAGCCAAATCTAGCCTGTTGCCTGTTTTGGTATGGCCCCCAAGAGTCAAAAAAAAAAAAACCAAAAACAAAACAAGAAACAGTTCTATATAATTGAGAATCATGAAGTTGTAGTATGTAAAGCTTTAATGTAAATGAAATTTAAAATGACTAGCTTTTCTCTTATTGACCTAAAGCAGCCTAAATTGAATTTTGACACAAAATGCTATCCACAATAGTGGCTGGTCACCTAAGTGAGGCTTTGCATTCATGTTCCCTGATGACTCTAATTCATTTATAGAAACAGAATGTCACAGGTAGAAGATACTTCAAAATTCTCTAATTTCACACCCCTCCCCCCTTTATAGCCAAGTCTTAAGAATTTCAATGACTTACATAAAGTTAGTGGTAGAGCTAGGCCCAGAATCCAGGCTGATTAGCTTTTAATCCAAGTCCTATTGTCTTTCTTTTCTAACATCTCTTGTATATAGCTGACTCACCTCAAACCACAACTACTGCAATAGCCTGATGGCTGTTCTCCCTTTCTTCAGTGTCTCCTCACTTCAGTCCATCCTCCACTAAGCTTCCAAAGCGATCTTCCTAGAGCTCAAACATGACCAGGTCAAGCCCTCATTCAATGAACTCCAATGGCTCCCTATCACTTCCAGGATAAAATATAAAATCCTTTGATTACCATTCAAAGTCCTTCTTACCCTGGTCCCCTTGGTACATTTTCAGTCTGCTTAACACCTTACTCACCCCAATTTTTTCTGTGTGATCCACTGATACTGACCTCCTCGCTATTACTCAAACAAGACACTCCATCTTCCAGCTCTGGGCATTTTTACTGGCTCTCCCCTATGCCTGAAATTCTCTCCCTCCCAGCTTCCTTCAAGTCCTAGCTAACATCCCACTTCCTACAAAAAGACTTTCCTGATCTCCTTCAAATTCCAGTGTCTTCCCCTGTTGATTATCTCCAATTAATTCTCTATTTATCTTGTCTGTGCATAGTTGTTTGCATATTGTCTCCTCCATTAGACTGTAAGCTCCTTGAGAGCAGGAACTTTTTTTTGGCCTTTCTTTGTATCCCTACCACTTAGCACTGTGCCTGGCAAACAGTAGATGCATAAATGACTACTAAGTTATTGACAGTGTCCTTCCCATTATGACATGCTATCTCTAGATTAACACAGATGGTCATGAAAAGTGTAGGATTTGTGGTCATGCTGTAGAGTTAATCACTTCTTGCTTTTTATATAAAAGGACAATTCAGAGAACAGGTCCAAAAAAAGATGCTTCACCTAAAAGCCATTTCAAAAGCATCTGACAAGCCCCTGACCTAATTCTTCTTAGCCTCTTTTTGAAACAGAATGTGAAAACTTGTAAATTATCCATATTGAATTAGTTTCTTCACAAAGTTACTTTTCCCAACATTCTCGACTATTTCATTTTGTACAGTGGTACAGAAGACAATGGCGGGGGGGGGGACTCAGTCTATTGCCATATTTAAACTCCAATAAAATTTTAGCCAAATGCAAATAAGCTACAAAAATGTTCAAAGTCTTACATTCCTGAGGCTGCCTTGGTCTGTATATCCACATTCCAAAATAGCTAAGAGCTTAAAACTCTGATCCTCGTCCACTACTATTCCAGCCTTTTCTGGATACTAATACGCCTGCCTGATTTTACCTAGCATGAAACACCTTGTTTTTTACATGTCAAGAGAGAACACTGTTGAAGATTTTTCTCATTTTAACTTAAAGAAATGAAAAACAGACATGCTCAAAGATCTACTAACGTATTTTCGAGCTAAACAGACCCACTGCTGGTATTTACCTAGTGAAAGTACATTCAAGCATAACTTTGTGCTTACTATCACGGGGAAGAGAACAGAAAAAAGAGAAGTGAACAAACTGTTTCCAAAATATTACTTGTCTAGAGGTCAGGTAGTTTTAGATGGCAAAATTCAATGAGCAAGAATTGTGACTAATTCTGTGCTCTGTACTGTTATTACAACATTGAGAGTTTTCAAATTATATTCACTGTGCAGTACCCTCAGATGGGCATGATATTTATTTTCAATTTCCAGGCTCATTTATTTAAACACAACATGTTACCCAATCTTCAATTCCAACTGGTATGAATTCAAAATATAAGCCTTACCTGTCAGGATTGTCTGGAAAGCAGCTTCTACATTTGTAGAGTCTAAAGCAGATGTCTCAATAAATGACAAGCCATTCTTTTCTGAGGGAATACAAACAGAGCAAAAAACCCTCTGAAGTAATCATTAACAACCAGATCAGGTCTTAATACAAATAATGAAATGATCTGTAACAAAAACATACCCCTAATAGTGGAAGTAATAGAATTTTCTGGATCATACTGCCTCAATTTTTTAGGCAGCCCCATCATTATGCTACATTTATTTTACTGGATTCATATGTTCCTCCCCATCCCCCTTACCCAAACGAGTTCATGCACAGCCTTGTTGAAAACAACACATCAAGAGGATACATCCAAAGCATCACTAAAGGTAGGAAAACTATTCAACCCAAAACATAGTTTACTTATACATGTATCAATCTTGGTCCTTTTACATCCTCTCCCCAAGATGTAACCACACTTTTAAAACAGCACAATGACTTCTACATAGGAGGTATCTAAGTGTTTTTGAGTTGAACAATAAATTACATATTCCATTTGCCTGTATCAATCGAAACAAGCTTCTTACCCAATCCACTAAAAATAGAAAATTTCATTTAATACACTCAATAATAAGTCAAACAAATATTATAAGAAAGCAACATGCTACAATATAAAGAATACTAGACTAGGAGTCAGGAGACGTGGGTTCAAGCCCTTGTTTTCTGCCACTAACTCATTCTGTGACTGAGAAAGGCATACCAACTTTCTATCTGTTTTTACTGTTGCATTTGGTTGTCCACAAGGTCTTTAAGGGAGAAGAACCTGGGATTTTAAAGATAAACCAAATGCTAAAATACTGAATGCAAGGTGACTCTAGTAACCTAACACAGTGACTCACTGGTCAAGAGTGCTTGGACTCTTTTTACCACTCACTCGGCAACACCTACAAGGGTTTGATGTGCTTTTAGGCGTATAAGGACTTTAACAAGATGAATTGAGAATGACAGTAAAGCACAGAACATTTCTGAACAGAGATCTTGCCTATTCTTTCACGGAGCTACCAGGAAAAGAGCAAGAGCTGCACTCACACTTTTACCTATGGAAACACAGGCAGCACAGTCCATAAAGAGAAGTGACACAGCTATCACTTCTGACTGGTTTTTTTCTGGGCCACACCTCTTGGTGCTGAGTATGTATGGTCTAGGCCAGTAGGCACAAGACATTACAACTACACCAAAGCACAGGAGGGAGTCTTCTCCATTGGAGTTATCAAGGAGAGTGAGACAATGTTGCAGCAGTGTGTAGTAAACACACCGGTAATGGGGTTAAGTGTTTACAACAAATAAGGACTACGTGTAAGAAACCTGGAGCCCTACATCCCATGTCACCACAAATTTGCATATAACTCATGCATAGACACCTATTTCACTATTAGAAGGATGAAAAAACATTCTTAAAATATCATTTTAAAATCAAGTACTCTTCCCAATAGCACAAAGCAAAGAACCATCTCAGGTAAGAGTCTTACCATACAAGTTGGGTCACTCATTACCTGCAAAGGCTCTTGCTTCATCTGTAGGGACTGCTCTGAGATGACGTAAATCACTTTTGTTGCCCACAAGCATGATAACAATGTTACTATCTGCATGATCTCTCAGTTCTTTCAGCCACCGTTCTACATTTTCATATGTAAGATGTTTAGCAATATCATAAACCAGCAAGGCACCTACTGCTCCACGATAATAACTGAAAAACAGAAAAAATTTCTATTAAAAGACCAACTTTAAAATGAAAGGCAGGTAGGGTAGGGTCCAATCACAATGAAATAGATTCTTACAACTAGATTTAAAAATCCTTAAATGATAGTTAAGTTCTCCCTAGAATAAAGTTATGGACACTTGCACATTTCACAACGCCACACTTTCACCCAAACTAATTCAATTGCTGCAAACTGCTTCATAGAACTTGGATCTCCTTGACTTACGCTGATGTTATAGCCCGATATCGCTCTTGTCCTGCTGTGTCCCATATTTGTGCCTTTATTGTTTTCCCATCAACCTGGATGCTTCTTGTTGCAAACTCCACACCAATGGTACTCTTGCTTTCCAGATTAAATTCATTTCGAGTGAAACGAGACAGAAGATTACTCTTTCCTACACCAGAGTCTCCAATGAGGACAACTGAAAAGGGGGGAAAAAAGAGGCAATGCTAAGTAGTTAAGAGGAAAACAGTACTATACTTTGCTTCTAGGGAAGTAAAATTTAGCTTAACTAACAATAAATAAGAGTCCCCACTTTTAACTGTTTGATTTTCCCCAAAAGAATTCAGTAGAACATGTACCCTGCTTCTGCTACTGCACTGGTAAGATTAATTTCATTTTTTTTTTACCATTGTCTTCCCAAACATTGATTATTACATAAATATTTAATTAGTTCATGCATTACTAAGACACCTTCTCTACGTACAATTTAAACTCTAAGTCTACTGAATTGACAACAGCTAATGTATTAACCACAATGAAAGTTAATACCAAAAATACTATCTTATACGACAGTAACTTGAAGATGATACTGTGCAGTCCACCAAATACAGAGTTGGAAGAGACAAAAGTATCTGACAAACAGCAAGATAATAAACGGTTAGGGATGGTATGTGCAGAATGCCCCACTCAATTTCACTGAAATCTGGATGTATTCTCAGGACTCACACCCCAGGCTAGTGCCAAAGGAAACACCAGGTTTAAAAAAATCTCACCACCCAGAGCACAGAAACTAAAATGGCCCTTTAATACTTTTATTTATCAGACTGGCAAGAAGCCACAGACAGAAAAGACTGCTAAGGACACTAAAGTGAGACCCTTAGGGTAGTGACTAATAATTTGGACTTGCTATGAGTCAAAGCAATCATAGCTAAGGGGGGCTTACGGTTACACTTATAACTTTTTGATATTTAAAAAATAGGTTTTGATTACAAGAATATACAATCCCATGACAAGGACCCATTTTATAATTCTCACAGCTCAGCACAATGTTTATAAGGTACACAGAAAGATACTTTGATGATACTAGATTCTAAATGTGGGCACTGCCCTACAACAGAGACCACTTCTCTATAATTTAAGAGAGTTTGCAACTTACTGAGGCTGAAAAGTCATTACCATGCTGCCAACACGCTTCTCCAAGCATAGCTAGGCTGAGCTTTGTCTAACAAGATAAATTATTTTATCATGAAAATTTACTGACAAGTAAAAGTGATTACTTTTAAACCAAAAGAACAAAATTTACACATGTGATTATGCATTTAATATTTCAAAAGTGAGAAATGGGAGTTTAAAAGCATTTTCCTCTTAAAGAATAAAATGAGTTTCAGAATTTATTTTAATGTAGTTTGATTATATTAACTGCCTTTGCCAGGTCTTACTTACCTTGTAGACAATAGAATGGGTTGAAGTATTTTTTGCAAACAAAGAGGAAAAGTTTTATTATCTTAAGACAGAAAACATTCCTGATATTAAATTGTAGTTCCCAACCTTCCAAACTAACTAGTGGTTCTATAAACCAGGTCCAGAAAAATTAACATAACAAAGTTAACAGTAACAAATAAGGGAGTGCCTTATAAAAGGGACAAGGCATATGGGGGGAAGGGGATGGAGAGATAGAGGGTTGGAAAAGCTCACTGTACTCTGGCCAGAGAGCAAAGACAGTCCATTATGCATTCCTTCCTTGCCACAAGATCGGATACAAGCTGGCCTCTAGACAGTCTTGGAGGGAGCTACTTTATCAAAAGCATATCTTTCTGGCTTCCTCTGTCAGCTGATTCAGCAAGAAATCCTCCAGGACTGCAATGACTGCATGCAGCACAAAGTATAGTTGTTTTTAAATGTTAACATGATTAATCCATAGATGTCTTAAGAGACTATGACAAAAGATGTATGTTAAATGTTAAGTAGGATGATAGATTTAGATCTAGAAAGCAGCCTAGAGGTCAACCCCTTCATTTTACAGTTGAGGAAACTGAGGCCCAGGAAAACTAACTGTTAAGTGATTTGCCCAGGATCAAGACTGAGCTATCTTCCAGACAAGTCCAGAATTTTACCTACTACCTAAATATGTCAGCTACCAAAGTCTACCTTCTGGATGGGAAATCAAATCCATCATTATGCTTACAAATAGGTCAAGTCCAATTTTCTGCTATATTAAGAAGAATACTCAGGAACTCTCCATTTCTGTTCTCACTACCTGGCGGAGGTATAAACACCTAACATGAGGGTGGAGCAGGAAGAGTAACCGAAGAGCCCATGTTTTATTACTCTTCCCCTTCACAAGACACTCTGATGTTCTGGCCCTTGGAGAATTAGTCATTTAGTTCAAAGACACACCATACCCATTAGAAAGGTATCATCTTAAAAGAGCCAACCATGATAAAATGCACCATATGTAAAATCTAAGAAACCAATCCCACAAAAAATATACAATGGCTTTAAGTAGGTGGCTTGTTTTTTTTTTTATATAAGTTTAGCATTCTGGTTAAAAAAAAAAAGGCCAAACAGATCTGTCTGTCAGAATGCTGAAAGTTATGATTGCTTCATTCCCAATTTCAGGTTCAGACTGATATTGATCTAGTTTTACAACCTAAAATCTTTACGTAATTGCCTCAAAAAACAGACTGATGCTAAAATAAACATATTTAGTTGCAAATTGAAATTAAATTGCTTAAAATTTTTCATATCAAACCAATAACAGATAGCCTATAAAATTAATTTTAGCCATTTTAAATTTTAACATGCTTACCTGAAAACAGTATACTAAATACACAATTTATAGCTAAACATGACCACAGATTCATTAAATTAAATCATAAGTTAGATATTCACAGTAGCAAATTTAACTTTTTACACTCAACACTACCTAAAATATGAAAAACTACAGAATATGACAGCTATCTCCAGTTGGAAATGTATAAGAATACCAAAGGTAAGCCCTACTTTGGGAGAACAAAAAATTCTAAAAGACATCTAGAAGATAATGGTTTTATTGGCACAGTGTTGCTAAGAACACAGTGGGAGGCTGGCTCAAAATTCAACACAGAAGGCTCAAAATTCAACAACAACTGAATTCCATTCAGTTACCAATACTACTGCATATTTCATCTGAGATTTCGTGAAGGGGCTCAGTCTATTAAAAGATAGGAGCAAAATTCATGAAAAACCACCCTTAGTCAAAATGAGTAGAACTTAAGTTCATCAAAAGAGCAGCAAAATAAACTTAAATATTTAATGAGATAACACATATAGCACTTTGCAAACCACAAAGCATTCTATAAGTGCAGTTATTATTAATATTATGTTTAAAAGGTTTAAATTTATAGAGTAACCTCACTGGCTTTGACAGGAAGAAACTAAGTTATTTTTCCTCCTAGATGCTTAAATTTATCTAATTTTTTACCACAGAAAACATTTTATTTCATGAAAAATAACAGTAGGTATTTTCTACCTTAAAAAATGTTAAAGTCAAAACTATGCAAGATTACTATTCATATTCTTTACTTCTTGGGAAAGGATCTCAAGTGCCTACCTATTTTAAAACATTTCAAGTAAAAAAGAAATTCATTTGAGTGTTGTAAGCCATATGAAAAGTACTGCTGTAGATAAAAAATTTTAAACATCTTCAGCAATTCAAAAATCTAATAATATAAACCCAGAACTACCACTACTGAGCTAAATAAATTAAGCTAATGAATTATCAACATCAATTCTTAAGTAATACTTAACTTTGTAAAATATATTAAATATCAGAGACACTACAAAAACCATATAAACACCAACATTCATATTATTTAATGATAATAGCTAACATCTTTATAGCACTTACTATATGCCAGGCACTGAACTAAGCACTTTATCATTATTATTTCATTTGATCTTCACAACCCAGTCTAAGTAGATGCCACTATTATCCTCATTTAAAGATGAGGAAACTGAGGAAAACAGTGGTTAAGTGACTTACCCAGGGTCCCAAAAGTAGTAAGCTCTATCTACTGTGCCATCTACTTTTTAAATAGTCCTTAAATAATAAATCCAACCATATTATTTTATTATAGATTCTAAGTGTTAGGCTATTTAACACAACAAATATCCAAAGAATAAAAGTCTCAATATCACTAGTCTTTCTAAAAAAGACATTTCCAATGTGCACACTTATACAAGTATTCCAGCAACAAAACACATTTTAAAGAGAATAGTACATGCCTGTCTGAAGTCTTCATAATTTTTCCAGATTCAACACCATATCTTACTCAATGTAAAGCTGAAAAAGAAAAACTAAAACACAAGGCAAAGTTCCTACAAGCAGTTTCTACTGACAATCATCTGAGAGTTAATTACTAGTGGGAGAAAAGGAGAAGTAAATTTGCTGGTTCATCTATTTCTAATCAATGGAATACCCACTCAGAAACATTTCTAGAAAAATGTGACTAATTGGCCTTGTATCTAAAATGAGGCTTGCAACTTCCTGGAGGGCAAAGAAAGTGATCTTCTTTTGAAGAAATCAATAAGCATTTTTTAAGGGCCTACTATGTGGCAGATGCTGTGCTAGCATTGCTCAAGCCAGCAATCTCTTCATATCTCATCTTGCTGCACTCCTTTGGACTTTACCTTTGCCCCCCCCCCACTCCTTTTCATTTTACTTTTGTGTAGTCTTCCTCTGTTAGATAATAAGCTCCTTAAGGGAAGATACTGTCTTTATTTTTCTTATTTATATCCCTGGTACTTAGTACAGTGCCTGGCACATAGTAGGGACTTAAGAAATGTTTACTGACTGACTGCTAGGCAATGAGGATATGAATGCAAAAGTGTGAAATAACATGCTTATGATTTTACATTCTACTCTGGTGAAGAAAAAGGACAGAAGTTCACAGATAAGAAAATACAAGATATATACTAAATAATGAGGTGAGGATGGTATGTAATAATTGGGAAAATCAGGGAAGATCTCTTAAAGGAGGTTGCACCTGAGCTTAAAAGGGAACCTTAGAGAAGTTCTGGGTACCCAGAGTCACTGAAAGAAAAGAGAGCATTCCAACTATGGGCATATATGTCTCACACACATACACACACCACCACCTCCCTGCCCCCAACACTTCCAACATTAAAAAAGAAAAAAAAGGGACAAAGGCAGGAAATAGTATGTGAGAGGGAGGGTAAATAGATGGCAGAAGCACCAAGTGCATAATGGAGACTAATGTGTAATCAGCCTAGAAAGATAGGCTAGAACCAAATTGTGAAGGTCTTTAAATGTCAAAGTAGTTTGTATTTAATCCTAAAGGTAATGTGGAGCCACTGAAGTTTCTTGAGCAAGGAGTAACATGGTCAGATCTCTACTTTTTTTCTTTGTTATCTACTCCAGTGAGTAGTACACATTAGCTGCTCAAATACTAGTTGAACAAACATTTAATCACACAAAAGAACATCAAGGTCAAATCCACTAAGGCTTTAACATAGTTAAGCCATTTCCTCAGCTTGACCCATCTCCTTTGAAACAACCTTCCGCAGTCACAATCTGAGATTCCCTTTCCCCTTGGAGTCTCCTACCATACTTTTAATTGCACCTCCACACTCAAGACAGTAGTTATTCATAAGCAGTCTTCCAGGGTGGGAGTGGACAAAGTTCATCCCCTAAAAATTTCATGTGATCTTCCTGTCAATACTCCCTTTTAGACATCTACATCCTAATATAATATTAAAACTAATTTCAAAGACTCTACTTTTTCTAACTGGATAGGGGTGCAAGCTTTCAGCTACTCCTGGAAACCATTTAGTCAGCTGGAAAAGATCTACCTTCTACCTAGAGATGGCCACACCTCATGGGGATGATGTAACTCATACTAGGACATAAGACAGTCAAGGTTCTTCGGCACTTTAATATGGTAATTCCACAGTTTCCAGATTTGCTAAATAATCCCCAAAGCGAAATGCATTGCAGCAACCTAAAATTTGAATACAAGTAGAAATGCTTTTCTCAGCAGGAATTTTGAAATTCCCTTCCTTAACTAACATCTAGACTTCTGTTTTATGAAAATATTAAAAGTTTAAAATTAACAAATTAACTTGTAAAATGTAAAAGATATTGTAAAAATATATTTGAGTATTTAAGTATCCTGATGCATATAATAAAGCTTTACAAGTCTAAAAGTTTAGGTTAAAAAATAAACCATCACTGAGGAGGCCACAACTTCAATGGTTTAAATCCCAAACTCTTTTGCTTAACTTTATTAAACCCATTTTAAAATAATTTTTAAAAATATTAAATAAGTTTACTTCTTTGAACCTGATACCATAAAACCAAAAAAGTAAAGACATAAGCTTCCCTTCCTAATTTTTGTGTCTAACTTTTGTGTTCAAAAACCTAAAGAAGGCACATAATTGTTCTGAAAGCAGGAAAGATGAGCAGTTTTTCAGATGGAAAAAGAAGGGGTTTTTAGAACATTAAAATCAAGTTTCTGTTTTATATTCTGGAAAGTCTATTACTACAAAGTACTCATCCTAAATTTAAGTACCTATTGCTGTTTCACTTTACTTAAAATCTCCCCTTAAAGAACTAATCCTAAAGTCTCATGAGGCTCGTTTTAAATACTTTTTCAATGAACTGTCTTCTGAAAATACACATTCCACTTTCCATATGAGATTTCTAAAATTCCCCATTTGCAGTAGTTCTATAAACATTCTTTAAAATGTGGGAAAAGATACGCAAACAAGCTGTCCAAAACCTGAAGACCGACAATTTACTGGGATAGGACTCCCAAGCAAAAAGAGGAAATGAGTTCATTAGCAGATAACTGCTGGAAGATTTGCAAAAACTAATGTTTCCTGCAGCATTAAGCACCAAATCTAAGAATAGGTGCTAACCAATGGCAAAGCTAGAAATAGTCAATCTGCCCCAACACCCCTTTTAAACTCCACCCTCAACAGTAAAGCTTTAGTATCAATGGTTTCTCCTTCCTTAATAACAATCTTGGTTCAGCACCTTACTGCTGGCTGCTCTCCTAATTCAAGTGCAGAAATATACAACCAACAGAGGCTGTAAAATGATTCATTTTACAGACTACAATCTCTCACGCTGAAAGGAGTTACCCTTCATCTTTGTTTATCAAGAACTATAAGGATTCTCTTTCTGGGCAAAACCACATTCAGTAGTTTTCTAACCCCTCCAGTATTGTGTCTATGGGAACTAAGCACTTATGCGCTGTAAAAAGAGATATTACATATGGCCAAATGCATACACACCTTTTTTTTTCTTTTTAAGGGAATACCTGAGGGAGTTACTAGGACCATTCCTTTCTCACCCTCTGAACACAGCTAGGTTGGGTCCTCCCGATGTTGCAGCAGCAAACAACCAGACCATAGCGATAAAACAGGCCTATGTGTGTGCAGCACACAATCTTTCCTGCTCAGCAACTGGGCCTTCAGGTCTGGCAAGGTGAACAACCCCCACCCATCAGCAACCCCTTCCCACAAGCAGAGTCAGAGGGCCACCCTTCCCTGCCCTGCCCTGCCGGAGGACAGGGAGCGGTCAAGGAGCAAAGGGGATAGGCATGAAGTCATGCAAGCCTCCTGGGTCACTGCGACGAGCGCGGTGGTTTGCTTCTCTCTTCTTTTTTGGCGAGGGGTGGGGGGCAAAAGGAAGGAAAGCATAATGTCTTTTGCCTCCAAATCTGCAAGCACTTACTAAGCACCTACTATGTGCCAGGCACTGTGATAAATAAGCACTGGGGATACAAAACACTCCTCCCCTTAAAACCCCCGCCAATCTCAGGATCCTATTCTAACTGGGGGAGGGAGAGACAAGCGAAGGGGACACAAGCTAGGCCGGGGTAAGCAGAGAAAGGTGCCCTCGGTTCCCAGGTGTAGTGGGCGGAGTCGAATGAAGAAAGGAAGACAGCAGGGTTAGGAAGAGATAGAGCTAGGCCCGGAGAGAGGAACCGAGGCCCGGGGCCGGGCGGAGGATGGGGTGGGAAGGGGAGGGACGACGAGGGGTCGCACCAAAGGGGGGGAGGTGTTGGCGCTAAAGTGGGAGGAGGAGGCGGCGGCCTGCAGGGCCGAGGCTCGGGGCCACCTCTCAGAAAGTGGATGGAACTAACCCGGCCCTAGCCCCGTCTCGGCCCCGGGGGCAGCCGGCTGGAGGGGGGAGGGGCGCCGAGACCGCGGCCTCACCTTTGAAGAGATAGTCGTACTCGTCGTCTCGGGTGCCCATGGCGCGTCACGGGGGGCAGAGGAGCCGGAGCGGCAGTCGGGCGGGGGAAGGGGCGTCACTTCAGGGGGAGCTGGAGCCTGAGCCGCCGCAGAGACTTAGGAGCCGGACTAGAGTAACGCGCCCCTCCCTGCCGCTGCGCCACTTCCGCCGGCCCGCCCCGCCCACTCTCCCTCCCGGGAAGTCCTTCCGGGGAGCGGGCTCCACCCTCCACGGACTCGGGCTCCTACTCGTTCCCCAAACTCCCCCTCCCTACCTCCCCCACCCGGCGCTGGCCCGGGTTCGCTCGCACGCGCTCCCGCCCGCTCTATTCGTAGTCTAGCCCGGGAGGGCGCGAGCTCGAGCGCCGGCGTACCGGGCCGTGAGGAGGGATGCTCCCCTTACCCACCATACCGAAAGCACTGAAGTGAAACTGAGGCAGGTCACTCCTGCAAAGCACACGAACCCGCCCGCTCGCCCCTCTGACAGCCCGGAACTCTAGGGTTCCGGGAGACCTCTCTGTGGCAGGGCAGGGAGGGAGTAGGTCTCTTGGTGGGGGCGGGGCTAGCTAACGATAAGAGAGCCTTGAGCGCGGCTTGAGGTATGGCGGTTCCATGGTGTAATGGTTAGCACTCTGGACTCTGAATCCAGCGATCCGAGTTCAAATCTCGGTGGAACCTGCAAGGTAACATTTTTTCCAAGGCTCCTCCGGTCCTTTAAAGACAGCTTTCTCTTCTAATTCTACCCCGCCACATTCATTCATTCACCAATGATTAAGTTCCTAATCCAACACTTAGTAGGTACTGTTAGGTGCAGAGCTGCACGGAAACTAAGGTATTGTCAATGACTTTATATTCTTTTTAAAAATTATTTTTTTAAATGTGTTGTGATTAGGAACCTGACAAACATCAATATGAGCATTTCCATATAAAAAGAAAAAAAGAAGAAAAAAGGATTGTACGTGAAACCACGCTTTGAGGAAGAAATTCAGCATGTTACTTCGGAACCTGTCCCGATTGTGTTTCCCTCTGAGTTTCCTGTTCTCTTTGCATTGTTAATGCTTCATTGACCAGCAATCACTTTTTCCCTTTTTTGGCATCACCATCACTTCCCCACCCTATGCCCCAACTTCTGCTAATAGTGTCTCCCCCCCATTAAAAAATTACCAAAAATAAAAACAAAACCTCTTTTGTAACAAATAAGCACAAATAATAAATCCACATTGTCCACGTGGGAAAATGCATTATCTCCTTCTGCACCTCTAGTCCATCACCTCTGTAAAGCGGGAAACATTTCATCATTGTCCTCGTGGCTGGTCAAGCCATTGAAAGGAGTTCTTGAGTACTTCAAAGCTGTCTGTCTTTACAATGTTTTAGTCATTTTATAAATTGTTCTGGTCCTGAAAGAGCTTACATTCTGCTAGAGGGAAGCAACATGAACACACACACACAAAAATACAAAATATAAAATATACTATATATACATATAGACACATAAAACATACAAAGTAAATTCCAAATTTCACCATGGGGGAGGGCATGAACATTATAATGTAGGAGATGGCATTTGAGTCTGGAAGACTAGAGATTCTCTGAGTTTATCCTATAGGCAATAGGAGTAACGAAGCTTCTTCTTGTGGGGAGTGATACCGTCAGTCCAGTGCTTTAGAAATAGTCATTGGACAGTTCCTGGAACATGAATTAGAAAGAAAGGCTGGAGGTAGTGGAACCAAATGGAGATTAATTCATTAATTAATCCAGGAAAGAGGTGATAAGGACCTGAACCAAGGTGGTAAGTACAAGGGGACAGACACAAGATATATGAAAAGATATGAAAAGATATAAAAAGATAAGGAGTAGAAAATCAAATATGGAGAGGTAAGTGAGAGTTAAGATCGGAAGATAACTCGGGATTCAGTGTCTTTATACTGAGTATCTTTCAACTCAGCCTCTTATTTCCTAGACTTTCTTTAAGACTCAGCTCAAATCCTAACTTTTGCAGGACTTTCCCAGTTCTCACTTCCTTTTAAATATCTTCTATCTGCTCTGTATGTGGCAGGTACATGTGTATCTAAATAGAGACGCATATATGTGTGTATAAAATTACATACATATATAGTTATATATAGAAGTAGTTATAATGTTATGTAAGTATATGTATATATATATATATACACATATAAGCAGTGTAATGTTACATATCTGTGTGCATGTGTGCATTCTTATAGTTATTTACACATTGCCTCCCCTTTTAGGATGTGAGTCCCCAGGGACAGTGTTTTGTCCTTTCTTTGTATTTCCAACACTTTGCACAGTGCCTGGCACATAGTAGGTAAGTGGTTAATAAATGTTTGTTGAAGTTTCTAATATGTATGACTGGCAGGATGGTGGTTCTATCTACAGAATTAAGGAAGTTTGGAAGAGAAGACAGTTTGAGTGGAAAGATAAGCAATTCTGCTTTCATAATAAAAACTAGAATTTATATAGCACTTCAATGTTGGCAAAGCACTTTCATTTTATCCTCACTACAACCCTGGGAGGTAAGTGCCATCCTTATCCACATCTTACAGATACAGGTTAAGTGACTTACACAGGGTCACAGAGTTAATAAGTTTCTGAAGCAGGATTCAAACTCATACCTTCCCAACTTCAAGTATAGTAGCACTCTATGCACTTTACCACCTCAAATTATTTTACAGAATGGCTGAAACAATTCACTGCTCACCAACAGTGCATTAGTGTATCTTTTCTCTAACAATTGTAATACTGCATTTGTATTAGCTTCAAAAACCTGCTAGGTAGAATCTCAGTTGTTTTCATTTGTATTTCTAATTATTAACGATTTGGAGCATTTTTTTATGTGGCTGTTGACATCCTGGATTTCTTCCTCTGAAAACTGCACATCCTGGGTCATTGTCAGTCATCCTGATTTTTGTCCTGCCACAGAACTTTACATGACTCAGGAAGAGAGAGAGAGGCTGAGCCTTTGCCTCACTTAAATCCCATCATCACCTTGGTGATGTCATTGGTCTTTCTCGAAAACAAAGGACAAACAACAACAACAACAACATCTTTATGAATCAGCTAGCTGTCTCGTGCCTTAACCATGTTAAGTTTAAGAAACCTGTAGGAGATCTAGTTGGAGATGAACAATAGTTAGGTAGGTAGATATATAGACTTGAGAGTCATAGACATAAAAATGGTAGATGGGGGCAGCTAGGAGGCAAAGTGAATAGAACTCTGGCCTTGGAGTCAGGAGGACCTGAGTTCAAATCCAGCCTCAGACACTTAACACTTACTAGCTGTGTGACCCTGGGCAAGTCACTTAACCCTCATTGCCTCACTTAAAAAAAAAATGGTAGATGAATCCACAGGAGTAGGGGAGAACATCAAGGAAAGAAAGTATAGAGAGAAGAGAGCCCAAAGCAGAGCCCTTGGATACATTCACATGTAAGAGTGGAACATGGATGATGAGTCAGCAAAGGAGACAACATCCACTCAGTGGTCACGTCATGGAATCATAGGTTTTGAACTAGAAGAGAATCTCCGAAATCATCTGCTCTAACTTTCTCATTTTACATAGGAAGAAACTGTGGCTCAGGAGGATTATATGAGTTGCACAAGCAAGACTCCTCCCTCAAAGCTTGCATTTATGACTCTCTCTCTCTGCATATATATATATATATATGTACATGTATATGTATATACCCACACATACATATACACATACATATACATATATGTATATATCTTTCTTTGATCATGGTACCCCTCTCCCCACCAATATATTTAAATATTCTCTCTCTCTGCTTCCAGGGTATCGTGAGGGCTCTCTGAGGGGGAAAGGGGCCAGGTTCTGGCTATACACTGATAGTCTGCTACTTGTCTGTTAAGCCTATATGATATCTAATGAGAGGTATCACTCCAGGTAGAAACATCCACATGGATTCCAGCTGTTAGTATTGAGGTTTCATGGTGTGATGTGGAGGTACCACCTCAAAGAATTCAGAGTCAGACCACCTCTCATCCAAGTACAGGCATTTATTGAGGATTGACACCCCTCAGAAGCAGGCTAGGTTCCAAGAGGAACCAGCAACTTCAGAGAAAACAAGATGGATTTTTATGGGGTAAAGATGCAATTACATGTGTAACAGAAATTATGAATATTAAAAAGGCAGGAGAGGTTTGTCAAGGGATTAGGTAATAGGGGAGGAGTGCCTTCTATAGTTCGGCGATCAAATACCCTGGTCGTGCTGCTTTCTGATTGGCTAGCTTTTGTGGTCCTGTCTGGTTAAGATGGATAGTTAGATATTGTGATACTGTCTTGGGCTAAATGGATGATGTGATTGTGGTTGAGCACAAGAACACACTTGTTCAAATATGTGAATTGGATCTGCAGTGGCTAGCTAGGGGCAGCTAGCTAGTGGATTTATTGAGTCTGGGGGCCTATGCTGTGGTTAAAGTCAGATTGTGTGGTTAAATCAGGGCATGCCTGCTGTTCAGTGGGGCCCATAAGGAAGTCAGAATATTGGGACTGGGAGTAGCTTTATTAGGATTCCATCAGTGGCACTTTTGTCTGCTGCCCTCCACAAGACAAGATGTGATCTAGGAGAAGTGTGGAGAAGTATGGGCCTTCTCTACCTAGATAGAATGGTGACAGCTCCCCTGCCTCCCCTACCGATTTGGAGCAAATGGCCTGTCCCAGAGCAGAGGATTCTGAGACTCAGAGCTATTTGTGGGGAAGGGACAAGAGCTGCTCACTGCTTGTGGCTGTGGCCTCTGCCACTGCCACCATTGCAATCTCAGCTAGACAGTGTGACAGCAAAGCCTACTGGAACTTTGCAGTAGCAAAAGTGGAGGCATGGAGTAGTACCTAGCTAGCAAGATATGACTAATTGTACTTTCAGATGCTCTGAAATCCCCACCCACAGGTAAAATTGAAGAGGTGCTTATCCCAATTTCCCAGCATTTCCTCTACTTTCTCCAATTACTCACTGAGCAGATCTTGTTAATTAACAAACTCACAACCTCTTCCTTTATCCTTTCTCCCATCTACCACCTGGGAGGGGAATTAAATGGGAAGTTTCTTTACTGTTTTGCTATATAGCAGTTAGGGTGCCTCCCCACTTTGTAGTGTTTCAGGCCT